TTATTAATCAAAATTTTAGATCAAAATGGCAAAAAGGAAGATTCGTCTTACTACAAAACGACATATTTTCAAAGATTTATGTCAATTTTGGCGTGCTACGACTGCTTTAACAAATAATCGCAGAAAGGTCAGATAAAATTTGCTTTAAAAAAAAAAATGACTCCTAAATTTTTAATTTAAATGTTGACTGCAGAAATTTTCAAATTTTTCTTTCATCAGAGATGATTCAACTTAAGTTTAGTTTTTTTTTTTTTCTTCCTTTGAATTAATTAATTCTTCAGCTACCTGTTTTCTGTTCATCTATCTCACTTATCATTGTGATAATTTATAATGATGTAAACAAATTTTATCATGAATTTGAAAGAATTAATAATTAATATTTAATGAATTAGATTTAGACTAAATTCTGCTTTTCTTATTTTGAAAATGATTTTAGACTTCTTGCATTTTTCTAGAAACATGATAAATTTGTTATTATTATTATCGGAAATGATTAAATCAATAGAATTTTGAATTATAAATTCCTTGCTTCAATCGTCATATTTTGCTTTCTTTCTTTTTTTTTTTGCTTAATTTTTGTCAAATTAGGGTTAATTAAACTAAAGTTTTATTAAATGATAAATATTATCAGTTTTTTCTCGCCTTTTTTTATCTTGTTGAAATTTTTTTAAATTTTCAAACCTCATTTTTATTACTTTATTACCTTAAAAATTATTTCAAATCAAATTTTTTACTGTTTTTTTTTTTTTTTTTTGTGGGTATATCAAAATTTATGGTCATGAGTGGAAATGAATAATATAATGTGCTAAATTAAATTTGCATAATAAAAGCATCAAAAAAAAACACTTCATTCACTTATTTTTGCATCGAATAAATTGTAAACAATTTTATTATTAAATTTAATGATAAATATGGTGGTGCTATTTGTAAGTTATTGATATTTACTGCAGGATAATGGAGTAGTTATTAGTTTAACCATTGACCATTGACCATTGACCTTTCCGATTGTTTATAAGTAATTAATTAGCTACCTTTAATCAATACAATTTCTGTTTTTCTTTCCAATGTAATTTATGTTAAATTAATTTACTTCGTTGATTTCAACTTGGCTAAAGTGTATTTATCATTGAAAAAGTGAAAAATGTCCAATTTGTTGTTAATTAAATCAAATGAGCGATTTAAATCAGAAAAAAATCAATACTTTATTTTGCAGAAAAAAATTTGATACTTTACAAAATCAATATTTTATCCCTTCTCTCTCTCTCTCTCTCTTTTTATTTTGTCATATTTTCTTTTTTTTAAGAAAGAGGGAGAGAGGAAGAGAAAGAGGAAGTAAAAGGTTTATGTCCTGTCTAACTAACCTATGTAGTTTGATTACTTTTTTTTTATTTTTTAGTCAAAATGATGCTTTCATCTTATTTAATAATTCTATGATAGTATTCTATCATTTTAAATGAGCGAAAATTTGACAATTTGTAATTTAGACTGAAGTAGTTTTTTTCTTTTTTTTATTAAAATGTAGCAAGCAGATTTTTTTTTTTGATTTTTAATAGCAAATTTTATTTAAAAATTTTTATTTAAATGCAAAAAAAAAATTATTTACTTTTTTTGAGATAAATATTTTGGCAAAATTTTATTTTTTGTTTTAAAAGAAATTATGATAGTAAAAATCTTTAAATAGCAATCAAAAATTACATATGTATATACTCATTAAATAGAAAATAGTAAATGAAGTATGTCAAGCCGGAAAAGTTAGTAAATAAAGTAAAAGCTGACAAATTCATTGCAAAAAAAAGTTTTTTTTTCCGGATGAGTTAGAAGATTGGCCGAATTTAGATAATGATTAATTAATTATTTATTATAAATTTGTCACGGAGTTTTTTTCCAAATGACATGAAGAGTTAGCTGAACATGTAAATAGAATAATTAAATTAATGATTTAATTACAAATTCATTGCGGAGTTTTTTTTCCGGATCATTGGAAAAGTTAGCTAAATATTTGACTAAAATGATTGAATTGAATTTTTATATTTGATATTTACATATATAAATATTGCTAAAATATATAGGAGACAAATGTTCAAATTTTATTAAAATTGAAATTGAAATTTTGTAAAAATTCTTTAAATTAATAACATTCAAAATTTTTTGAGCACAAATAATGAATATCAAATCATTTATGAATTTTATGCGTAAATATATTAAAAATTAATCATATTAGCTGTTTTATAGCAATAATTTGAAAAAATCTGACTAGGGGAATGTTAAATTGCTGATAAAATTTATGTATTTTTGTGCAACAGTGCTCGTAGTGGAACATATTTATCATTTATTATGTTTGAACATATCATTCTATTTATATGTATATTTATTTATTTGTTTATTTATTAATCACTTTTTTACTTATGCGACATTCCTATCATATTAATTTCTTAGATAAACATTGTTTTATTTTTTTCTCTCTAAAAAAAATTTTTTTTTATTACTTTTCATTTATTATGAGTCAAAAAAAAAAGCCTTCAATCAATTTTTTTTGAAATAAAAATTAATTTCTAAAATAAAACACAAACATTTAGAGTTATTGTTATATTAAAATTAATTATTCTAGAAATTTCTGAAATCATTATCGAACGCAAAAGCTGCTAAATCAATTTCCAAATCAAATTCTTCTTCAAAAGGATTTTCATTTCAATCCAACACATCCATTGTATGTTCTTTTGTTTTTTTTGCTCTCTCTCTCCCTAGTTAATCATTACAATAAAATAAAAAATAAGCAAATTCTCATTTGTGTGTTTTTTTAAAGTATGCATGCATGTGTGCATGAATGCATGCATGTGTGCACGAATGCATGCATGCATGCATACTTTTGTTTTCCATAGCTTTGCTCTTTTTTCCTGCTAAGTTCGATAGAATGAAATATTTGTTATAAGTTTAATTTACAGCAATAAATTGATTTTATATATTTTAATAGAAAAAATTTCGTGCAAAATTTTATTCTCTTTATTTATTTCACTTTTTTTTTTGCTTTATATATTTTTAAAATTGGCGTCTCTTTTTTTTTGTTATATATATTTTTTGTAGATTTGTTTCATTGAATTAATTTGAACTAATTAAATTTTATGATTTATTTACGAAGCTCTTTCTTTTTTTCTTTCCAAAATTATTTTCACCTATTGCTTTTGAAATGAGAAACTTTTTTAATTTCTAATCTTTTAAAATTGATTTGATAGAGAAAATAAAACTGAATAATATATGGATAGCTTCTTATATCATATAGTAATTTTTTTCATAATATATGCAAATTTCAAAGCTTTTTTGAAATATCATGTTTTTTAAAATTTTGTTATTCGGAATGCATTGAAATCCTTAAGATACTCCTTTTTATTAAAATTTTCCAACTAAAATCCTAAACTTCTGGTAAAAAAAACATGTGGGACTAATCGAATTTTACCACTAAATAAATTTGCATATTTCGATCCCAAAAATTTGTGTAATAAAATTTTATTTATTCTTATTTGCTCTTTTCGCAATCACTTAAAATTTAGTTAAAAAATTTTTCCTGCTGACAAAAAAAAAAATTATCAATGATATCATTGTATATCTTATAAGAAATCATAATTTAGAACTACTTATGAATTTAATGAAATAATTTAAACGATTCTTCTTCAAGCCATCGTGTGGCAACAATCAATATAAACAGAATGCTGCAGTAAATAATTAGTAACTAATACTAACATAAATTAATTACCAATTAAAATTTTAAAAAGTTTCATATATTCTAAATGCCAAATGCATATTTAATTAATAATTTATTATCATTGATGTATTTCAAATGTTAAATAAATTTTTTCCTCCCACTTGTTTGAAATATTCTGTTTTTTTTTCCCTTTTTTTATGAATATAAATTTTAATTTTGTGGTGTTTTTTTTCTTTTTTAACTTATAAATTTGCATTTTTAATTTAAGTTCGAAATTTTTTTTCTGTTTAACTATTAAATTTCAATAAAATTAATTGCTAACAAAAAAAAAAAAAAAAAAAAAATAAGCAAAAGAAATAGTTGAAATATTTTTGAAATGCACTTTACGCTATGACATTTTAATCATTGCTAAATCATTTTTTATCTCTTCCGATCTCCTTCTCTTAAATAATCATTTTATTCCTCTTACATCTTCAAATATTTTATATCCCAGGAATATCTGTATAGCAAACATTACTGTCTATTTTGTTAGCTTTCAAAATTTTATTGATAACGGAAATCAATGAGTTTTTCTTTTTAATTTTTTTTTTTCTTCACTTTATGCATATCTATCTAATCTTTCTCTCTCTCTCTCTTTCCCTCTCTCTCCCTCTCTCTCTCCCTTTCTCTTTCTTTTTTGTCTCTTTTTATAAATTTATGTGTTTATGCAGCAGTCCTAGTATTTACTTGATAAAGAGCAAAATATGAGCCTTAAGGCTTACTTGTTGGCATGTATATGCAATCCATAAAATGAAAAGATTTTATCCAACTCTCTCACACTTATTCTAAATTAACTCACTTCATTTTCTCTCTTCTTTTTCATCCTTACTTTTTACTTTTTTTCTTTTTCTTTCTCTTTTTTTTATTGTTTTATTGTATTTCTAAATTTTGAAAAGTTGAAAATTACTTATTGTTTTATTGTATTTTAAGTTTTAAAAAAGTTGAAAAAAAGATATTTTGTAAAAATAAAAATAATATAATTAAATTGCTTTTAATAGGAAAAATTTTTCGAGAGAAAATAACACAAAAAATATTATCATATCGAATTGAATGAATGAATTAATGAATGATAGTTAATTTTATGAATTTGTTATTATTAAGAGAAAAGTTTAAAATTCTACACAAATTATTATTTTATCATAATAGCAAACAAATTAGCAATGAATTGCAAACTATCACGCTATAAATGCATGCAATAATTTGGCAAATTAGAATTATGAATTGCAGTTATATGCAACAAATTAACAATTGAAATTGTAGAATAATGCAAATACATATGGGAATAGCAGCACTTATGAACGTTAATTTGTTTTTTTTTTTTTTTTTTTAAATAAATAAATTAGAAATTGAAATGCACTGATTTTAAACTTGCAAAAAAATAGGATGTGATTAATGATTGGAAGGAAAAAAAGAGTAAGCTATTAGTTTATTGTTATATGACGATAATTTATCCTTGGTAGTGAATAAACAAGTATTTAAGTTAATGATTTCAAATATTGCTTAGTATAAACTGGATGAAAATGATGCGGAAAAACGTGAACAGCAAAGATTAGCACAGAAATTGGATGATGATTCGGCAGCTATCTGTAATGATATTAATCCCAGCAGTGGAATGGATAAAATATATTTTACACCGTTTGTTTTCATTTTTTAATTTCAATTCAATTACTTGTTAAGTTTTTTTTTTCTTTTTTAAATAGACAAAATATTTGGTATTAGATATAAGTAGGTAGAAAAAAAGAAAATTGAAGAAGGGGATGGTCAATTTAAGAATAATTTGACGAAGTGATTGAAACTGTACAGATAAAATATAATCAAAGTAATGAAATTAAATAATCTATCATTAATCTCTAAAATTGTCATATAAAAAATTAAGAATGAAGAATCTACACTGGTTATTAATTACTTTTTTAAGAAACAATGCGGTCTTCTTTGAAATATTTTTCAAATGAATAAAACATTAAATTTGATTTTTACCTCTATTTTATTGCTTTTAGTGTTAACTTCTTACACCGATCGGTGTAGAAAATTTAAAAGAAATTAAATGTTTTTAGTAAAATTGATTCTTTCTCATAATTTAATTAATATTGAAACAATAAAAAATCAAAATTTTTAATAGTGAAGTATATTGTATAAGAAGATGAAATTAATTTTTTTTTGAAAAATACAATTAAATTGATCGTTTTTTCTAGAATTTTTGTAAATTATATTTTTTATTCAAGTGAAAAAAAAGAAAGTGTTATTTTATTTAAATTAGTAAAAAATGAAATAAAATGAATTTAAAATTAAAATTATTTATAGAAATGAATTATTATACGAAGCAACATGTGCAGATGTAATTTCATCAACATTATCATCGTCATCGCCAGAAAAATCAATAACAATGATCGGTGTACCGGATTCGGAATTTTCCACTGATAATGCAACTAGTAACAGTACTGATAAATGTCACAAAGATAGTAACATTGATAACACTGATAATATTGGTAACGAATTTTCGTAGTTTTCCTTTTTTCATATTTAATTTATAATAAATTTCATTTTAATTTCGAAATTTCATTTTCGCTATTTTACATATACTTTTTTAAGGTTCTTTTGATAAGTTTTTATTTTAAGTTTTGGAAAAAATTTAAGTTTAATTTTTTTTTATTGCATTTTCGTAGTGTATGAAGGCAAAAATTTTAGCAGATTTTTTGTTGAAGATTTTGTAAAAATAATTTATTTGTCAATAAAAAAAAAAGAGAAAAACAAAGAAATGAAAAATTATGGCTAACTTATGATGCATTGCTATATAAAATACCAAATTTTATTTTAGTATTAAAGTTTTATTCATAATTTTACGTTTATTAAAACAACTCGGAATTTGATAATTTTTCAAATACTTAATTTTAATATTTCAATGGGCAATCCATTCCATTTTTTTTTTTTCTTTTCAGAAGCTAAAGTGCTATGTCAATGTCAATCACATTTAGGCCGAATATTTCTAGATGAAGTTTATCCATTAACAACAGAACAACTGTTTACCATACTTTTTTCACCCATACCATGGTATCAACATTTTGATGAAATTGTCAACAAAACAGGTAAATATCTAAATTTGAAGAAAAAATATTATTTAAAATTTCAGTTAGTAAATAATTTTGAGTTTTGAATTCCAAATTTTTTAAATATTTTTCTTTAAATTTATTGGAGGATAAACGATGTAATGTATCACTCAAAATTTTAGCACATGGAAAAACGCTTAATATAGTAACTGGTAAGTAATTTTATTTTTTTTGATATTTCATTTTCACTCTTTTTTAATCAGTTTCGTTTTTATTTTCACTTTTTTTTTTCACTTATGATATTATCATCATTTGATTAAAATATTTATCTACTTTTACCCTTTCAATTATTTGTTATTACTCATATTTGATCAATTAAATTACAATATAATTATTGCAAAGGTTATATGGCAACATCATGGGTAACAGAAAATCCTACTGTTACCACTCGAACAGTAACCTATAACATGGCACTAAATAACGCTTTAGGTCCAAAAAGTACGTCAGTTACTGAAAAACAGGTTATTTATTTCAATTTTCTCACTTTTTTTAATTCTATTAAAAAATATGTTTAAAAAATTTTGAAAAAATTACATACTTAATTTTTTTTTTTTTTAAATTACTCATTTTGTTCCTTTTTTTTTGTAAATTTAAGTTTTGTATTCTTTCACTGTGTAATTAAACTTTACCCATGATCGTTCTCTATAGCATAAAACTTTATCTACGTCTCTTTATATTATCAAATGTTACTTTCTCGTGTTATATTTCAGACATGTCACTCATTTCACGATACCGACAAAGGATTTAGTATAATGAAAGAGATTCAAAACGCTGGCATACCATACGCTGATAATTTTGCCATTCAATGTACTTATTGTATAATTCGGGCAGGTAACATGCATTCCAGGTTACTTATACATGGCACAATAATACAAAAGAAAAATATTTGGGGTATTGTTAAAGGTAAATATTTTAATTCATAATTTAAACAAAAATTTAAGTTAACACAAATACACACAAAACGAAGATCTTGGATAGGAGCAATAGACATGACTTACCTACCGTAGTAATATTTTTGAAGCTACCGTAATACTGTCTACTGTATGCTTGTATTTGTTGACATAGAACAGTTTTAAATGATTTCGTAAACGATATTCGTTTTTGATGTTTAGCTAGCAGTAGACGGTAAACGTATTGCATGTGACGTAACTAGCTACGAATATAGTGCAATATTGTTAGTTACGTTACGTGCAATACGTGTAATATTGTTAGTTACGTTACGTGCAATACGTATGTTGTTTTTCCTTTTTCTAGCGTACAACTAACTATATTGTAAAAAAAAGAAAAAATATTAATATAACGTCACTCACGTAGTATACGTGTTTAGTTAAAAGATATTACATATATACATTGCATATTTCTGCATAACTAACAAACCAATATATTGTATTTTTTTTCTTGTTATACTTTATACTTTAACTAAACACGTATACTACGTGAGTGACGTTATATTAATATTTTTTTCCTTTTTTTCTGATCAATTTAAGCATATCAATTAGGAATAACCATAAATTTAACATAATAATTTATTTAAACAATCGTTTCAGGAATAATTGAAAAAAGCACGTATAGTGGATTAGGAACGCATTATACTGTATTAAAAGAAACATTAAAATTACTGTGTGATGAATCACTTGAGGTAAAACAATCTACCGTATCGGAATGTGAAACAAGCAATAATTTGTTACCAAACAAATTATTAAATCGGTACGCTAATATTGATATTTCATTTCTCTCTACTAAAATTTCACGAATTGGAAAATGTAAAAAAATAAATAAATGTTTATAATATTACTTTAAGGACAAGTCATTTATCAATTAAAATATATCAATTTGAATATTTTTTCAATTATTTCGAAATTTTATACCCATACATTCTTAATTATTAATCAGCATATGCTTCTTTCGTATGTGTATATCACTCTTATCACTTTTCATACTATTTCCGTAATTTATTTTTTTTTTAAAAAAAGAACTAATAATATTAAATAATAACTATTGGTTGTTCAATGATCATTATTTATCGAGGTGACTTTTTTTTCTCTCTTCTTTTTTATCATAAACATTTATGAAAGTTATTGATTGTATTTTTTTTTTCTAATGTGAAAATTCGAAAAAGTCACCTCTTGACTGTTTGAAATATATCACAAATTATTTAAAATAGAAATAAATTTTATTTTATTCTTTTCGACACATCTGAAAACGTTTCATTTCATGTGTGAAAATTTTTGACGTAAAAATTTTATTTATGATTATTGCATTTTCAGATATGCAATTAAATTTCATTTAAAAAAAAGATGAAACTGAAAGATTTAGTAAGTTTTTTCTAAAAATCCAAAAAACGAGAGCTGTTTTGGGTGGATTTTATTCTTCGCACAAATTTATGATATTAAAAAAATGAAAATTTTTTTTTTTTTTTTGGAAAGTACAGAACAACACTTGCCAGTTATTATATCTGCAGAAAGTACAACAATATCAAAAACGGTTCTATTACGGAACACAATAATTCAACCGGTGCTCATTATCAGTCGATGTTGCTGAATCCGATTATCAATTCTGCTGATAATATCAGTCAGTTTTCCGTCATATCATTCCAGTGGGAACTAACATTGTAAACTTTAAAGTGGAAACTAACAAATTATCTTATTCTGTTTTCAATATTAAAAGATATAAGTTACTAATTTTCTTTTTCAAATATGACATTTTGAATTACTATTTTAAAATTCACTTTAGAAAAGTTTGTTTTCTCTTAAATACACTACTTAACAGATTACATATATGAAAATATTCATTAAAAAAAAAATATGTTGTATTTAAATTTTATTACGTTGGAAAAAAAAGCGCATCTAATTTAATATTTCGAAGTTATATCATAAAAAAATGTTTTGAATTTAGATTTTAATTTTAAAATACTTTTATTTCAAGAAATTAATTGTAGCATTAATTTTATTGAATTTAGCTATCTTAGAGAAAAGACAATAGGCATGATGATAGATATAAGCAAGAGAAAATCTTTTCTAATTTTTTTTCAAAGATCTAAAAACCTTAATGGCATCATCGTTCCCAGAATTACTAATTTTATCATTAAATTAATTATACAAAATAATTCCTTAGAAAATCAATTGTCAGCTATGTCATATAAAACAGTATATATGAGATTGTGACATGATCAATTGCTTCTCAAAATAATCGATTTAATTTGATAATAAAATTGTAAGTATATAAAAATATTATGTATTATTATTACGATTACTATTACCATTATACTTACATTAAATTACTGTTACATTCATATTATAAATGTATGTATCATGAATATATTGTAGAAATTTAATTGTATAAATTTAAAATGCTAATATTCATTACTAGTTTACGACTAATTGTATTACTGATTATTGATTATTGTGTTATTAATTAATAACATGAGAAATTGAATCAAATTTCTATCAAAAACATAAAATTTTAAACAAATTAATTAAATTTAAGCAAGTTCAAAATTTTTAAAACATTTTTAAACATTATAAATTAAAGTAAAAAAAGAAAAGGATGGTAGAAATTTTAGATTTTGTACTAAAAAAAAAAAGTCTTTTTTAATTCTTAAATTTTTTTTTAAAATTGAAGTTAATTCATTCAGATGTAACAAAGTCAACAACAACAGCAAAATCAACGAATGATAATAGTTGCTTTTGTGATAATGCTACTGTGATTACAAATAATGCTCAAACACAAACATTAAATTATTCTAGTTATAAGGAAAGTATTGGTTATTCCAATAGATTTATTATTATTTTGTAAGTTTTTTTTTTTTGTTATCTTTTTCGTATTTTTCTTCTTTGAAATTTATTCAGAATTTTTCTTTAAATTTGCTTTAAAAATTTGACACTTTCTATGATAAATTTAACTGTGAAATAGTTATCCATGAAATGTTAATAATTGCTATTTTATTCATTTATTTATTGATTTTTCTTCCTGAAAGACTTTACAAAATTAATGAAAAAAGTGTTTGCAAAACAAACTTTCAAATCTGATATTAAATTTTTTCCCGTCAATAAAAATAAATGCAAATTTGTAAATTGAGAACTAAATTATTTTAATGAAAGAATAATTATTTGCAGAAATTTTTCGAAGTTTTTTTTTCCTCCAAAAAGAAAAGAATTAAAAATTTTAATGTAAAAATTTTCAATTTAATTTTTCAGGTTTCATTTTGATTATAAACTAAGTTTATTGTTTATAGACTTTCAGTATTAATTTGTTTGCAAGTTTTCACTTATCTAAAGATCTCATACATTTTGGATACTCATTGCTCCAGTACCAGTGAAAATTCCGCTGCTTTCATTAATAGAATCAATCATCCGTAAGTTAGCAAAATAATTTTGAAAAATTTTATTATTAGATAAATTTAAACTGAAGTATTGATGAATTTAACTTAATTAACGATTAATAATTATTTTGCATAGTGATTTAAATTTGCAGGAATGATTTATCAGTAGATGCACAGAATCTTGAACAATTACGATTGACTGGCAAAAATATCATCTTCAAAGATGATTTATAAACTTTCCTGAATCATTTTGCTTAATTTTAAATTAATTTCAGTTTTTGATAGCATTATTGTAACCAAAATAAATCTAATTTCGTCAATGTAATTTGATTTTAATAAATAAATTAATTAATTAGCAAAATAATGTATGTTTTTTTTTTTTTTTTTTTTGTTGCATTTTTCTAATTCTTGAACAAAATTTAGCTAGAAAAATTTTTGTTTTTCCTCCTTGTTAATTTAGTAGAATTTTAATGTCATCAAATTGTTGTAAAATTTTAAATATCAACTAGAATTGAAAGTTTCATTGTATGAAAAGCAAGTAGAAGAGAAAAAACGAATGAAATAAATAATAAATTATGTTTTCTTTTTTCATTTTTTTTTTTTGTTTTTTTGTTTTAACTTTGTTCAATGATTGATATTTATAAAGAATTAATTGCTTGTTAAACACTGAGCAAAACTCTTTACTTTTTATCGAAACATATTTTATACTTCCAAGACAAAAAGTAAATTACATATTTTAAATTATCAAATTAACAATTTAAGAAACAACCTATGCATTTTATTCAACAACAACCTGCAATGGAAGTAAAATTGCAATTAATAACAGTTAAATATTCTTTAAAACAATATCAAAAAAAAAAAAAAAAGGCTAATAGGTGATAGTTTTTATGTGTTCTAAGTTTTTTTTTTTTTAGCAAGATTTTAATAATTTTCCAAATTATTTTCTTTTTTTAAACTTTTTCTCTTTTTTTTTAATAGTGAATTAACAAATTAATTATTAAATGATCCAGGTGAACAAGGTGATGCTACTATTTTTAGACTTCTTCTTCCAATTTCAGGTGGTTTATAAAGTGGTGAACCTGGTGGAGCTGTTGAATCACTACGTTTAAATGTTAACGATCGTTGAGATAAATTATACCCTAAATTATATCTGAAAATTTTAGATATAAATTTAATATTTTTAATTGTTAACATTCTCATGTTAGAAATCACCTTGCAATATTTATTTTCATATTCTCACTCAAATTTTAGATTATTCAAAAAAAAAAAAATTATTTTACTCTAAATTATAAGCGCTGAATTTTAAATTGTGATTTAATAAGAAGGAAATTAATTTGATAATTAAAAAAAAAATGTATTAATTGCAACAAATATTCCATCAAATAAAATTATATTTCATAAAAAAGATAATATAAATTGTTAATATTTGATATGAATAAAAATATTGACCAACAAAAAAAGATAAAAACAAATTTAAGTCGCAAAAAAAAGTTGTCACAAAATTTGATAATTAATTTTTTTTTTTAATTTAAAAAAGAAAAAAATGAAAAGAATGAAAAAGATAAATGGATGAGCAGAAGAAAAAAAAAGGAATAAAACTTACAAATTCCTATAATTTGTTGTTAAACTATCATTATTCTTACAATTGATCAATGTATCATTTGAACAATCATTATCGTTATCATCATTATCATCATCATCATCATCAATCTTTTGAGTTAATAAGTCTTTACAATTATCATTATCATCATCATCATTATCATTATCATCATCACTTTCATCATCAATATTAAATTCTGTATTGGCAGTAAAATAGGTTGTCATATCACTTACACCATCAATACTGGAAACCTACGAACAACGATTGCTTTTATTCTTGATTTTTTTTTTTTTTATAATTTAAATTTCACTTTAATTAATAATTCTCTATCGTAACATCATTCTGCTAATAAATTAGTCAATTAATCGATTATTGAAATGAGTTCAAATCTAAAATACATAACAAATTTAAAATTGTCAAATTTGAACTTTCAATTAATATATAATTAAATTTTTTATCAGTTAACCAAAACAATAAAACATAAATATTTTCAATTGATTTTTTTTTCAGTGAGATAACTGCAAAATTCTTTACTTAACACCATAAATTAATTTTAAGATTAAGTTAGAAAATAATTTAATTATACAAAAAAAGGAGAGATGAGATAATAGGTCGCTATTTCATTTATTACCTAAACAAATAATAAATTAAAATTATAATTACAAAATAGCATGCAATTTTTTGAAACAATATTCTTTTAATAATCCTTTAAAAACGCAATAACATAACTGTAATAGATATTATTCGATGAAATAAAGAAAAAGAATTTAAAGAAATGAATTACTTAAACTAACTAATAAGTATTAAATTAAAACTTTGAAAAATGATAATAAATTTCATTTCAATTATTTTTTTTCATCAATTTAATTGAAATCTATTGTCATATATTGAATTAATTAAGAATAGAGTGGAAAAAAAAGGAATGGAAATTAAAATGTTAAATGCAAATTTCAATGAAATATTTTTGATACGTTTATTTGTTATTTCTATGTTTTTCATATTAATTAATTACTCTTTTTCACAATTTAAATTCCATAATATTTTTAATAATTTAAATTTTAAAAAGTGAATTGATTTCATGTAATACATTTAATGCTCTGAATTATATGCATATATCATAAACCTACTCTTGAATTGGTTGTTTGTTGTTGAATTACCGCTTCAACAATTAAAGCATTTTTTGATTCTGTTAATTTTAAATCATCAACAATATTCCGGGTCGATATATTAGTATCGAGTTGCTGATCAGGTTCCGGTAAAGCAAAATCATTTTTGATCACATGTGCTGGTTTCTGATCTTAAAAAAAAAGAAAGGAACGAGAAGTTAGATAATAAATTTAAATTTATTTAAACTTAAATTTAAAATAATTTCATTTCATAGCAAAATTATTATTCATGGAATAATTTCTTTTTTTTGATTTGCAAAGGCTATTAAATTGAGATTTAAGTAGAAAAAACGAATAAAATTCATCATTTTAAAATATTAGCAAATATATTTTTATTATCAAAATATGCTTTAATTAATATTATGGATTGATGAGATTAATCAAAAACATTTCATTAGATCATCTGTTTTTTTTTTTTGCAACTTTTTCAAGAATAAATAAATTTTTTGAGTAAAAAACATTATCCATACTAATTAAGTTTAAAAAAAAAAAACTTTAGTCTGTTGATTATTTAAAAAATAATGATACCTTTATAACAATGTTCAACAAAATCTCAAACTTTTCATATGCCAAAATATTTTCTTTTCCCAATTAGATTTAAATTTAAATTCAGAGAAAAAAAAATAGAATCAATAATTACTTCTTTCCTAATTGCTCAAAAACAAGAAAAACAGAAAACAAACTATTTGCAGCTGGAAGCAATGGCGAATTTTCTAGATCTTTAGATGGAGCTGAAAATTGAAACGATATTATTGCCTCATAATTTGAAAATCTGAATTAAAAAAAAAAAAAGGAAAAGCATTTTTTTATTGCTTTTTCTCATTTATTTATTTATAATATAATTTTTGAATTGTAAAAATTTTATGAGAAATTAGAAATCTTTTGAGGAGAAAAATTTTTTTCAAAATTTTGAATTTTTAAAAGAAAAAATATTTGAATATTTTTGAAATTGAAACCAATATTTTCGAGATCTTTTGATGATGGCATTGGTGATTGCTCATGTAATAGTCCTTTATGCTTCCACAAACAAAATATACCAGCCAAAATTATCAGTAGAATTAAAGTGATAATAAATGGTACCATCCACCCTTAAATTAATTACTATTATTTATTGATAATTATCAATATTTGATTTTTTTTTTGTTAAAATTATTGATAATTAATATTAATGAGCAATTTTGATTTTAAATCTTGAATTTGAAGCAATTTTCTTTCGCGGAATTCGACTTATTTTTTGAAAAAATATCATTTAATATTGAAAATTTGATGAAAATAAATTGGCTTAGTTTGATTAGAATTTAAAAAACGGTAAATGATTTATTGAAGTTTCAAAATTATTAATTATTTTTCTTCTTTTGATATTAATAAGAAACACATTGAATACTTCATATTTTGTTTATTTAATGAAATAAATTAGCAAAAAATGATCAAATTAATATCTACAGAACAAATTATACTATTTTAGACATTTATAAAATTAGCGATTAAAATTTCCATTTAAGTTGAAAATTAATTTCTCACATTCCGATTCGTTCATTTCATCATCATCAATCTTATCATTATCAAATGTTCTTTGATAAGATTCAGTGATAAACGGTGAATCCCAAACTGGTGCCGTTACAGTGTTTAGTATTGCTAAAAAAAATTGCAAAAATTAAACAAAAAATTTTAAAAAAAAAATTTTTGATTTGAAAATTTGAAGTTTTTGACTAAAAAATAAAAGCAATTAACAAATAGTAGCAATTCTTATTTTTCATATTTGAATAAGAAAAATTAAAAATTTTCATTTTTTTGCCAACTTTTTTTAAAATTGAAAAGCATAATTTTATTAATTTCTCATTCCCAATTGTATTACAATTCAAATTTACTTAAATGCATATTTAATTCATATTGTCATTTTAATTATCTTTGCTTTAGTTCAATCAATTAGTTGATTTATATACATCAACTTTTAACTTTTCGTTATTTTAATTATTTTTTTAATTATTTTTTTTTAAAATCAATTCTTATACCAAATTTTCTAATCAATTTTTTCTAATCATTTTTTTAATCGATTTTTACTCCAATTTTAGAATCAAATATTCAAAATAATTATACTTTTCAATTATTTAAAAATTATCCTCAAAATGAATAAAAAAAAAGGATAATCAATAATTTAATTAATGCAATAATTACAATCTATAATAATACTATAACAAATATATTTTATAATTAGAATTGTTGCATAAATGTAACGCCAAGGAAGAAAAAAATAACATTTATAAAAATGAAAATATAAAATTTCTTACGTGGCAAATTTCCAGGAATTAAAAATGAATTACATGCACCCAATTGAATTTTATTACCAATAATTGTTACCGATTCAGCAAATTCAAGTTCCGGTTTATGCAAATATAAGATTGGTTTAAGACGCATACGTGGAACACTTACATCAATGTCAATATCTGAAAATTTAATTTGTCAACAAAATTAATTTATTTTACTAAAACTTTATGCAAATAATAATCTCTCTTATTCTTTTTCCCACACAATCTCACAATATTGATCGTTCACTTATCCATTTTCATCTAATCAAAATTGTTGATAAATACTGCTTAATTAAATTAATGATAATTAAAATAAGATAGCAAATAATGATATAATTTTGTGATGTAATTTAAATTCTTGCTTGTGAAATTGTACAACAAATTTAAGACGCATACGTATTAGACTTACGTTTATGACGCTTAAAATTGAAAGAAATATGAAAACAATTTTCATAACATAACATTATCAAATTTTTGATAGACATCAAAGTAACATCAATTTCTGATAAACTATTCTGATAAGAAAATGATCGAATTCATTTTCATTAATGTTTAATTTGTTTTATCTATTTAATCAAAAAAATATACTTGATAAACAACCAGTATAGTTATACTTTATCGTTTTCTTATCAGCATTTATCATATCTGTAATATCTGTAATGTATGGTCCACCGAAAGAAAATTTAATTGCATATGCTAGTGATAAATCTGCTGCTAACTGTATTGGAAAATCATTTTTCCATGAATCAATCTGAAATGTTAAAATTATATGCCAAATATTTTAATAATTTATCAAATAATCTTTTTAAATTACAATGAAAATAAAATAGAATTTTCATGAAATCACTTAAAAAACTATTTCCTTTTTTATTTAAACAATTAATTATTTTGTTTGAGTTATTTTTGCCAACTAATTTATCATAGTATTATGTGTAGATTTAAATGAAGTAATTAAGTAATTAAAATGCTGAAATATTCGAACCGTAATTTTCAATGATTTATTAGCATGAAATTGTGCATGAAAGTAATGTCGATAACCATCGTTATAATTATATGAAAATGTGTAAACAAATGATATATCAGTTGTTGTTATAGCAATATTAATTGAACCATTTTTACATAATATTACTTGTAACATTCTGAAAAAAAAGAAAAAATTATTTATTATTAAAGGAATGCAATTTAGACGTGTGCCATTTGTTTGTTTGTTTGTTTGTTTCTTATCAACTGTTATAAAATATTTCATTGATAAATTATGTTTGAAAAAGCAAAATTTATTATTATGCATTTGTTAATCAATCATTATTGTCAAAAAAAAGAAAGAAAAGAAAAAAATGGAAAAGAAAAAATGCCATATTGTTTATCACTTATGTAAATATCAAAAAAGTGATATAAAATTATTAAATAATGATTAAACTTTAAGAAAGTGTAAATTTGACATTTTACAAACTTATTATGCTTAAAATGAATTGCTGCAAGCGTTTGTGGCTTTGTTAGCTTTGTTGATTTTGCCGTATTCGTTGTAGAAAATGCAAAACTGAATGTTTGTTCGTTAATTTCATTCCAGTTAACGATAGCTTTTTCGAAAATTTCAGCAGTATTTAATACTAATATCGAATTACCCGCAAAATATGCACCATTATCTGAATGTAAAAATTATCATTCATTTAATGAAAAAAAAAGGATTAAACAAGTTTATAGATTTAAAAAAGGGTAACTTTAACAGGGAATAATATGTTAATATATAATTCCAATGAAATAAAATGCAAACAAAAAAAAATCTGCAAAAAATTTTTAAATTTAATGAAAATTTTTTTTTTTTTTGGATACAATTTTTAGATAAAATAAAGTGAGAAATTTGTTTTTTATAGCTTATGAATATTTATGTTTAATTTAAAAATGATATAATTGATTTAAAGCTTTCATGTTAGTTGCATTCAAAAGAAGAAGCAAGTAAAGATTAAACGATATCAGTAAACAATTTACTCCAAATATCTTTTTCATCTCTTGCAAGTAGCAGAGAAATAAGCTTTAAAAAAATCACTGTGACAGATAATGCGCGAAATGAATGATAAGGCAGATAATTCTCGAAGTGAATGATAGGGCAAATAATGCGCGAAATGAATGATAAGGCAGATAATTCTCGAAGTGAATGATAGGGCAAATAATGCGCGAAATGAATGATAAGGCAGATAATTCTCGAAGTGAATGATAGGGCAAATAATGCGCGAAATGAATGATAAGGCAGATAATTCCCGAAGTGAATGATAGGGCAAATAATGCGCGAAATGAATGATAAGGCAGATAATTCCCGAAGTGAATGATAGGGCAAATAATGCGCGAAATGAATGATAAGGCAGATAATTCTCGAAGTGAATGATAGGGCAAATAATGCGCGAAATGAATGATAAGGGCAGATAATGCGCGAAATGAATGATAAGGCAGATAGTGAATGATAGGGCAAATAATGCGCGAAATGAATGATAAGGCAGATAATTCCCGAAGTGAATGATAGGGCAAATAATGCGCGAAATGAATGATAAGGCAGATAATTCCCGAAGTGAATGATAGGGCAAATAATGCGCGAAATGAATGATAAGGCAGATAATTCCCGAAGTGAATGATAGGGCAAATAATGCGCGAAATGAATGATAAGGCAAATAATTCTCGAAGTGAATGATAGGGCAAATAATGCGCGAAATGAATGATAAGGCAGATAATTCTCGAAGTGAATGATAGGGCAAGTAATGCGCGAAATGAATGATAAGGCAGATAATTCCCGAAGTGAATGATAGGGCAAATAATGCGCGAAATGAATGATAAGGCAGATAATTCTCGAAGTGAATGATAGGGCAAGTAATGCGCGAAATGAATGATAAGATAGATAAAAAACGAATGATAACAGAGATAATACGATATGATTAAATAGATTATCAGATAGTATAATGAGCTAAATTACTGATTAAATAGAAAATGCGCTGAAAATGATCGCATTTCAATGACAAACATTCAGTAAAATTATACTGAGCAGAAAAAAAAATTAATTAGCTAGAAAATCAGGAAAAATAAAAAATGGGATAAGAAATCAATCCGGATAGTCTTAGTTATCCGTAATAGCCTTAGTAATCCATATTAATATTTGAATTTTAATTCCAACATTAACAGATTGTTATGTTTTTATATAAATTTGATAATAAGCACAAACCTTTATCACAATATTCGCCATAGTAGGATGTTCGGGCGCAATTACAACTAATAATATTTTCAGCATTTTTCGTCTTTGTCCATTGTACCGAACAATGACCGCCATTTTTGCATAAATGTTCAATTTGATGGCAACCCAATTCACAGCCATATTTGATCATACCTTTAAAACTATTAAAATTATATTTGAAAGAAAAAGGAAATTTTTCCCACTTTTTAAAACAACAAATTAATAATTAAAGTATCATTCACTAATTTTATTTAATTTATTAGAAGAAATGAAAAAAAAAAAAAGAAATTACTTACATTAATACTACTTTTACACTGACTTTATTGGCATTTTATATAATTTCATGTGATCGTCAAATTTCACATCAATTTTGTAACAAACAAATTTTGAGATGAAAAGAGGCTTAGAGAGGAAAAATTAGCATAAATTATTTTAAATGTATCCAAAATTAGATTCATTCTGTCTGATCACGCATTGATATCAATTTGATTTGAATCATTATCCTCTTGCAATATTTTCATATGAATTATTTATTTGAACTAAATTATTTTCATGTCGAATATATTTTCAGAATAGCATAATAATATTGTGAATCTTTCGTTTTGCTTAAATTTCAAGTTTTTTAAAATATTTTTCAACCTGGTTTAGTTGGATAATGAGACCAATAATATTGATTACGCATATCGATTATTTTGTCACCAATCATTAAACCACGCATACAACCAAGCAAATTTGGGATAGTCGATCGATAAATCGGTTCCAAATTACCGAAATGAATTTCGGTTGGTACACCAGCAACAAATAATAAAACATATGAATGACTGAAGGTAACACCTTGTTCAGTTATTGGTGAGACTGGTGGTTGTATAATATCTAAAATTTTGAGCAAAAGTAATTTTGAAATTTGCAAATTTTTTCCATTCGTAATTGATATTAATGACAATTTTCTTAAAATTAATGCTTTTTTAAAGATCTAAAGCTGATATATTGAAATTTTTAATTAGTGAAAAAGTGAAATTTCAAAAGAATAAAGTATAGTAAATTACCATTGATATCATGAGTGACTTCAAATTTTTTAATGAAATTATTGGAAAGAATGCGTTCACCAGTAATTTGACATATTTCATCATTAACATTTAATTCAATCGAATCGGTCCATTGAAATATCATCACTTGAATCCACTTCATTCGACTGTATTCTACAACAGAAAAATTCCTTTATCACAAATTAGTTAATCCAGCTGATATGATTATTTGAATTTTTTGATTGAAAATTTTTATTGAATCTTATAATGCCCAATATTTGTGATTTTTTAAATCTATTCTATTCTGATGATTGCTTTTTGTAACAGATAACGTATTTATGGCAATAAAATCTTAACTTAGTAATAATTTTTCTCCCAGATATGCATTTATATCATTTGTTGCTAGGAATTAATTTATTAAATTATTAATTGGACATTCGGAAAGTTTCGATATGAAAAACAATAATATTTCATAAAATTCTCACAAAAAAATAAATTTCTTCTACTTCAATTATTTTTTATATGATTTCAAATTTTATTTACCATTTCCAATTTTAGCAATAACTTCACAACGATAAATTGTGCGATTGAAATTGAGTGTTAGTACCATGTGTGAATGATCGGATAAATGCACCTGTCGTAATTATTAATGATTTCAATAATTATTAATGATTTCAATTTTTCAAAAAAAGAATTAATACTGTTTGGTTTTCTCTTGTTTTTTTTTTCTTCTTTTTTTGAAATTGCAGAATTACTTCTCTGTAATTTGCTACTGTGCTTATAAAAAAAGATGTTAAGAAAATTTGTAAAATTGAATTTTATACAACTAAAGTTGACCAGCAATTATTATAGAAAAGAAATGATCATTATTACAATAGTAATTAGATCATATACTGTTAGAAGGTTTAGACAAACATCTGAGGATGTTATCTGGAAATAACTTATATGCATTAAACGGAATAAAATGGTTATAACCGGAATGTGTGAAACATGATTATAATATGTTAGCAGGAAAAAGAGAAAAAAAAAAGATGAGATGACTGGATTCATAACCGGAAATCAGTTTAGTAATCATTTCTTCATTTTTTTTTCGGAAATCAGTTTAATACTTCGCATTTCAAAATTTTTCAAATGGTGAAAATTTAAATTGCTTTTAATTGAAGACAAAAATTGTAACGAAATGAATTGAATGTTGATTGTAAGATATTATTTAAAAATTATATCAAAAGGAAAATTTCTCATTTTTATTAGTCAATAAATAGAAAAAAAATATTATTTGTATGCGAATGAAATCAATTCATGAATAGATTTATTGGTTGATTATCTGACATTAATACAAATTTTTTTTGAACAAAAATTATTATTCTACAATTATTATAAAATTATTTTTATAAAATTTTAATTGCAAAAAATAATTGTTTCAATTTCTTTAAATTTTAATAAAAAATTTTAATTTGAAACAGAAGAAGACGAGAAAATTTGTATGAAATAAATGAAATTATATACCTGTAGGAAGTTATATAATTGATCATGAAGATAAATGAGTAAAGCATCACGTTGATCAGTACGAAAGCTAAATATAATCCGTTGCATCAATGCTTTTGCAATAGTAATGTTCTCAGCTTTCAGGAATGCTTCTTTCGAATCATGAAAACTTACTTCTGTTCCATAATTAATACCTTAAACTTTTCAATTTTGTTTTATTTGTAAAAAAAAAATTGATAAGAATATTTTAAATGAGAAAAATTTACAGAATTAATTTCATAAATAATAAAATATTATACTTCTATATAATTAATATTTTATGATCGAATGTTCCAAGCTAAAATTGCAAGCGACTTTTTTTTGCAAATACATAAAATTATAGAATAATCACATGTCGATCATATTTCAGAAATTTGGAAAAATTGCAAAATTATTGCTAACAAATATTAAATAATTGCTGAAAAATTACTGTTAAAAGTTACCAAATTTTCAAGAAAAAAAAACTCTTATCGTAACAATTTTATTGTTAAAGCTATGAAATTAGTAACAATAAATTGAAGACTTAGTGTAATTTACTACTTTTTTTCTAAATTTGTTTTATAAAATTATTGTTGTTTGAAATTACTATCAATCAGTTTTATCAATGAACAAAAAATTATTGTTACACTTAGCAGATTACTTATTATTTAGATGAAATAACTATTAATATGTATAAATATTTCGGAAGTAAAAAAGTTGATGATTTAAGTGTGAAGTAACAAAAAGATTAGCTGTAAAAAGTATAATAATATGTAAATGAAAACAAGGCATTGGATATCATAAATATATTTTTTTTAATTTATCAACTGCTGACTTACACGAAATATTGAATAGAGATTATAAAATTGTGCAATTGCGGTAATAGTTAAGAAATATTTCTACATTCTTTTTCGATTTTTTTTTTTTGATAATGATTATTTATTATAACTATCAAATTCAAATTTATTTTTTAAATTTAATTTTATAAAACGGCACAGTTTTTTTTCTCGAATTTTATAGAATAAATTGATAAAAGTATATATATATATCATATTATTTGCTGAATATTATATATATACCGTATTGCATATATACCGTACTATTAACTTGACTACTATACCGTTGACCATACTATTGACTATTATACCGATTTGATATGTACTGACTATTAGGTATGTAACTTATTATTAACTTGATTTACATATCCAACTTAACTACTATGTACATAGCTTAGATAAGCTATATATCGAATTACCAATTTGACTATTACGCAGTTACCGTACTATAAACTATATCGTATTACCAATTTGACTATTACGTAGTTACCGTACTATAAACCATATCGTATTACCAATTTGACTATTACGTAGTTACCGTACTATAAACTATATCGCATTACCAACTTGACTATTACGTAGTTACCGTACTATAAACTATATCGTATTACCAATTTGACTATTACGTAGTTACCGTACTATAAACTATATCGCATTACCAATTTGACTATTACGTAGCTACAGTACTATAAACTGCATCGCTTCCATATGCATATACAGTAATTCATATTAAGATGAAAAATATCAATAAAACTGACTATTTTGGCATAAATGTCCCGAATGTACGATGGCATTCTTACAAACACAACGTACTGTATCAGTCACAAAATCTTCCTCACAACCACTTTCATGTTGACAATGATGTGATTCACATTTATTGGTGCATTTACCCCGAAAAGTTTGATCCACTTCGTGCAATGTATCATTTAAAAGTATTTGACGAATACAACCCAAAAATCCATTACCGCCACTGAAAAGTAGAAAAAAAGCTGAAACGAAGTTCGATTTAAGATTTTGAACGATTAAATTCATTCCTTTAGCAATTTTTAAATTCCAAGATATTTGCAAAAGTTTTAAGTTATTAGTTTAAATCTTACTGATAATTCATTAAAACTTATATGTATATGTGACAATATTCCATTTCATTTTCTCTATTTTACATTATTGAACATTTCGAATTATGAACTCCTTTTCAGCATAGTAACATTTCAATCATTTTTTTTAAAATTATTTTCAATATGTTACATAAATGATTATTTCGTAATTGTACATATTAATTTACTTACCCACCAATACTTAAGTATGTACTGCTAAATGTATGATGCTTAATTACTGCTGTTATTACTGTATCATCTACTGAAAATCGTATTGATCCATCACGAATATCAACGATAATTCGATGCCAGTATCCATCATTTTTTCTTCAAAATGAATAGTTCTAATAATTTTTTTGAGAAAAAAATTAGCAAAAGAAAAAATTAAGAAAAAAAAATTAGCAAATTTTTTAATATTAAAAAAAAAGCATTGTAACGTATACAGTAGTTTTATTTCTTCTTTTTTAGCTTTTTTTTTCATATTTTCAAAAAATTTTTATTATCATTAGAAATGGTGCAAATGTAAGATTATTACAAAAAGAAGCTAATTTTTTTTAATATTAAAAAAATTACATTAGAAGCAAATAAAAAACCTATGAAATATTTCAGAGAAAAAAGATTTTTTTCTAACATTTTAATGAAAAAAAATTTTTTTCTTGTACAGAAAATCTTGCACAAAATACATTAATAATTTCAAACTTAATTAATCATTTCAATTACTCTATCTATGAAATCTTTCTTTTACTGAAATAAAATTTCATTTTCTGTTAAAATTTCATTTCACATCCTTTCGAGGCGACAAAAATTTTAACGATAAGTATGTATACAAATTAAGAAAACAGAATACAAACCTTGATTGTGGGATAAGTGATAAATTAATTTGATTATGAATTTGTAAATAAAATGTTCGCTCCAACATTGTAATCGTAATGAATGAATCCTTTGATGAAAGTAATGTAGCGCTTTCAAGATAAGTGCGAAATTCGAAACTTAACATATTACCATCCCAATTTCCAATTTCTGCGACATTAAATTGCTTTCGAATTGTCATTGTATATGCATCAGATTGACCAGCTAAAATGGATATTAGAATGATAGAAACGGAATAATTGTACAAAAGAATTAATTTGTTGCAATTGTTTCCATGAAATCGAAGCATGGTTTCGTTTTTTTTTTTTTTTTAATTTTATTTCACTTTTTTTTATTTAAATACGGTAAATACAGATGTTACAAATGTTATAAAATGTTTCGTTTCAGTTATATGCATCTGTGATACATTTATTATTTTATAATTTAATTTGAAATATAATTAGTGAGTTTTACTTTCGCTATGAAAATAGTGAACGATAGAAAGATCATTAGAAAGGAAAACTAGTTATATTAGGAAACAAATTTTTTAAATTAGTTTTTTTCCAACATATTCATTTGTAATGATAATCACAGTTATCATTCTGAGTAAATCTGAATTGTCTCTGTAATATCATTTCTTCTTAAATCTTCTTCATTGCTATTAAAATAGTAATAAAACATGGATGACAAACTTGAAATTAAAAATTTTAATAAATAATTATGTTTTTTGACTAATTTTTTTCTTTTTTTAAAAAAGATATTAAAATACTTCGAAAATTATAATAAAATAAATTTAAAAAATTTTGTCTAATTAATTTTTGCATTAATGTATGAAATGACGGTGTAACATCTACCACTTCCACTACAAATCAATGGATCAAGTGTTATGTAGCCTCGATCAACTGATGGGTCACTTAATCGATAGATACCACGAATTGGCACTTGATCACCTGTCATTAAACCATAATCACTTGTGGTACCGCCATTGTCACAATTACATTCTAAAAAAAAAACATATACATCTCATAAAATAAGAAATAATAATAATAATAATAAAATTATTTTTTAAACTTTCAAAAATTGCTTTAATTTTTATTCATTTCTCTTTTTTCAAAAAGATATAAAAGCAAGGTTAAATTTTGCTCAATAAATAGTAAATGATTTGGTAGTAAAAATACTGATTCATCATGCAATTTAATCATCTCCTCATGTCTTATCGAATAATATCTAATAGAAAAAGAAAAAAGTAGAGACTTATAAATGTCTAAAATAAAGTGGCAAAAGTTAAATTTCGTCAGATTTAAATTTAAATGTTTTAAAATTATTAACAGCACTCCATTAAATGATCAAACAATATTTCACACTATGCAGGATTTAAATTAAAATTAAACAAAGAAATAATTTTGCTATTTCTTCAAATAATAAGTAGCATGAAACTTTGTTTTGTCTTTTTTTAATTATTTGAGAAATAAATGCTTACTTGAACATTTGTTGTTATCACAGGGACATGTCCCGTCAATTCCGCCAAAACCGCCAAAGAATTCATTTGAGATTGATGTAAACCACGTTTTCATTTGATCAAATCTATAAAGCTTTCACACATTTCATTTTAAATTTATTCATACTCCAATAAAATATGCATTTGATATTCGTAAAATTTTAATTAGAATTTTAATCATTTTTAGCTAATCATATCAAATGGTTTAAGCAAGAATATTTCATGAATGTTCGTACTATTTGCTAAGTTTTTTGTTATTTTTTCTCTCTTTTTTTTTAATCAAAATTTGTTCAATGTTTATAAAGAAACTTGTTTATAAAATTTGAATATTTTAACAATGAAATAAGTAATAGTTAGATATCATTGAAAAAATATGATTATAAATTATACCTCAAAGGTGCCATACGACAATTATACCGCACTGCTTGTGAACAGAATTCGGAATGTTTTTTTAAACTTTGCAAAAGTTGATCATTGAATAATCTTTAACAATATTAAATTAATTAAAATTCGAAGTGTTTGATATAAGAAATGATTCTAAAATTTTTAGAAATAATTAATATCTGAAAAAAATAAAATAAATTTGTCAAAATTTAAGAGATATTATCTTCTTTTTTTTTTCTGAAACTTACTTATAATTAACTATCATATGAATATCACCCAAATCTTTGCTATGAATTATCGTATTATTGGGCATATTGTGTGTAACAATTGTTTTACCATTTTCACAATAAGCATATGTTTCCGGTAGTGATCCGGAACCATCAGGATCAATAATATACATTCCGGATATTGTATTACCATTACGTAATATTTCATTACAATTCCATGGTAGAAGTGCTTAATTATATACTAAATTGCAAATAACAATAAAAATGTAAGGTAAATATGTGATAGTTTATTTTTAAAAATAAATTTCAAAAAATTTTTACAAAAATATCAATTACATATTTAAATTACTTCAGGTTTTAGTTAAGCTTTTAAATTTTAATTCCACCAATTATGAATTGTGTCCAAATTTGGAAAGAAATTTTTATGAAAACTTACAAAATTGACAAGATGCTCCAGTAAAACCTTTACGACATATGCAGATAGGTATATCATTTTCTTTTATACATTCGATAGAATTTTTACAATTTACAGCTTCGTCATTTTCACAAAATTGCTTTGTTGGTAACTCTGACAAAAATAAATAAAATAATTTTATTTTTTATTTTTTTTAGTTTTCAATTAAATAATTTTTTGATTCTTTTTTTTCCTCAAAATGTTGACAAAATTTTGAGGAAAAAAAAATGATATTGTAAAATGAGATTAGAAATGTTTTACAAATTTTTTTTATTGTACTTTAAATTAATTAATAACATCTTAATTATCATTTGTTTAGTTGAAAATTATTACATTGTTATATTTCTAGCAAGATTTTTTTTCTCTTTTTTGAATGTAAAAATAAAAATGATAACAAATTGCTGTGATATTTATTGTATGTAAAAAGAAATAAGAATAAATTATTCTAACTTAAGAACGACGTTTATTAGACGTAAAGTTGAGTAAAGTTAATTAAGGTAATTGCAAAAAACAATTTTAAAAAATGAAAAAAGCTGGATGGTTATAAAGATAACTATAATAATTGAAATAATCAAAAATATCAAAATAACAAAAATAATCACTTCTAATATTTTTACTTCGATTATCTTTTTTTTTAAAGAAACATAAAGTAATTTGAATTTTAGATAGAATAAAAAGTTATTAGTAAAAATTAGTAAAAAAGGGAAAACAAACAGAAATATTATTGCTTCTAATTGATAATATAATTGATGAATAAAAAGAATTTGTAATAAATTTCTAGCAATTAATTTTCAACAATGTAAGAAATAAATTTGAAGCTAATATTTTTTTTTAAAAAAAAATTAATTAAAAAAGTACACAATAATAGTTTTAATCGTTTTTATGGCTGAAAGGAAGCGAAAATTTTACAGAAATTTTACCTGTAACTTTCCATAGAATATCGCCTTTAAATTCATCATGTTTATCATCGTCAACCTGAAATAAAAATTTAGTTTTTCAAATTTTTCAAATGCTTAAAAACTAATTTAAGTTTTTTGTTAAATCGAACTTTTTTCTATTCTTCGTGAGATAAAAATAATTTTACTTATTTTATTTTATTTATGACAAATAATAATTAGTTATATTTTTTCACAGCAACTAAAATTATGTTTAAAAAAGCTTTTGGCTCTTCTTTTTTTCAACTTGAAAAAATGTTTAATAATTTCGTTCATTTGATAATATCATTTGATCAAAATTTTAGCCATTAAAATCATTTCCGACACTTAGTATGATTAATATATTATTCAAAAGAATTAAAAATTAATAAAAATTGTTTACAATTATTTCAAAATCAATTCCAGTATTATTCATTTATCTTGTCAAATTTCCTTAAAGTATTTGTTAATTTTGAACTTCATTTATTTGTTTTAATATTTTTCAAATCAATTATCTACATATTTCAAGCATAATTTCATCTCTGATTCATTTACCTGTCCATCCATAATTCCATCCAGTAATTTTGCTTCCATAGCATGTAAAATTTTAATTTCTGATTCTTTCACGATAATGGAACCATTTCTATCACAATTCTTCAATTCTGCATTTGCATTTACCTATAATATAGTACTTTCGCTAAACATTTATTACAGTTCTTTTATTATAAGAAATGAAATTTAGTTATACCTTTGGTGAACCTTTAGCATACCCATCGATTACGTCAAAATAATCAACGTAAATTCCACGTAAACATCCAGACAAGCCAACCTCAATATCACCGGCACAGAAGAATAATTCGTTATCAAATCTATTAAAAAATGAAAGATTGATTCGAAATGAGTAATTCCATTGAAATATGCTAATATTTGCAAAAAGTATTTGAATTCAGAAAAAAATAAGTTAACACAAAATTTTAATTGTTGCAGGGTAAAAAATGAAAAAAAAAACTATTTGATATATTAATTGAACTTTTACCTGATATGATAATCTTTATCATCTGCCCTCAAACTTGTTGATTTTGCATTACCATTAAAAGTCATATGAACCATATTAATATTGTATTCGAATTCCAGTAAAATTTGATTAAATCTGATAAAAAATATAATATGAAAAAAAAAAACGGAAGTCTAAATTTATTTCAAAAAAAATAATTTTCAAATATTTTGATAACAAATTCGAACTGCTACATTTTAAATTTGATTACTGTATCATTTTACAAAAATAATATACTAGTAAATTTGATAAAACCAAATTTTTAAACTTTTGGCTAGATTCGAAGTTATTACCACTAGTAATAAATGTTTTACATTTACTAAATGCTTAGCCTGAATTTCAAAAGTAACCTTTGGAAAAATTGTATAGCAAATAATAAGTTTAGCACTTTAACACTCATTGTCAGGCAATGATGATAAATTTACCTATCACTATTGAGAGTAACATAATCAAATTTACCTATCACTATTGAGAGTAACATAATCAAATTTACCTATCACTATTGAGAGTAACATAATCAAACTTACCTATCACTATTGAGAGTAACATAATCAAATTTACCTATCACTATTGAGAGTAACATAATCAAATTTACCTATCACTATTGAGAGTAACATTATCAAACTTACCTATCACTATTGAGAGTAACATAATCAAACTTACCTATCACTATTGAGAGTAACATAATCAAATTTACCTATCACTATTGAGAGTAACATAATCAAATTTACCTATCACTATTGAGAGTAACATTATCAAACTTACCTATCACTATTGAGAGTAACATAATCAAATTTACCTATCACTATTGAGAGTAACATAATCAAATTTACCTATCACTATTGAGAGTAACATAATCAAATTTACCTATCACTATTGAGAGTAACATTATCAAAACTGATTTCGGCAAGATTAGCAATTGTTAATCGTAACTGTCCATAAATAAGTGCTAATTTTAGTTTACCAATTGGTTTGTTAGTTTCAAGTGATAAAATTGTTCCATGAATTATTAAGCCTTCATTTACATCAGTCTAAAAAAAAAGAAAATAAAATAAAAACAAATATTATTTATTGCTATATGCATTTTATTAAAATTTTTTCAAAAGGTCTGATTAGTCTAAGAAAATGAAATTATTGTATGCTTTTGTCAAATTACATTCCATCTAACCCATCTGGGCATTTTGTATTGCAAAATATGTGAATTGATGTTGTAACCTTTGCTTCCTTTTATTATTATTTGTTAATAATTTCATTATTACTATTATTATTACTCTTATAATTATTTTTATCGTTATCATTGTTATTATTACTTTTGTTATTCTTATTGTCGTTACCACGTCATTATTATTAGTTACTATTATTTATCATTATTATTGTTGTTATATATGAGATATTTATTAATCAGTTGAAAAATCATGATTATATTACTAATTATTCTTCCAAAAAAATAGGATGCGAATTTATTGTCACATTTTTTTTCCTTTTTTTGTTTTGCTCATTTTAGTTTTACCTTAAAATCAATTGATATGACAGTTGGTTGTGAACCACTATCATCCATCTTATATGAGATATATTGATCCCAGGATACATTGATTGTTTTCATTGCTAAACGAAAAGCTTTTACAAAAAAAAAGCTCAAAAAAAAAAAAAAAAAAATTAACAAAATATTTTCTGCTTACAACAAAATTAAAAAAAAATTGAAAAATTTCAACAAACCTTCATTACATTGCTTTCCTGATTGATAAGTACCACGGCAATCGCATACAGTTCTATAAAATAAATCAATGCATTTACCCTGAAAATTTTTTTTTTTTTTAAAGGGATTTAAAAAATTAATAATGCAATGAAAAAATGATAAATAATTAGTTGTTTAGGATTTGCTACTATTTCTGCATTACTAATGAACTTAAAAAGATCATCGAAATGCTACATTAAATTATCAAAATTACAGTATGTCAGTTTAAACTAAAAAATTTTTCAGATAATTCAATTCTTATCATAAACATATTGCGCATATGACATTACGTCAAATTACGTCAAAAATTAGATATGACGTGAACAGATTGCATATCGATGCAAATTAACAGTAGGATGAACAATTAAGATTGTATTATTTTAATAAATTTTAAATTCAATAAAAAAAAAAAAATGAACTTTATTGCACAGTTCATTTGTACAAAGCGTATCGCAATTATCTCTAATCATCGCCGAGCGTTTATTTTCTTCCAATTCAAACACAAAGCGATTACCAACTGTTAAACCAACGATTGTAACACAACCAATTATACTATTTAGTCCATCTGTAATTCATCGATTTCTTACTTTTCAAAATATTCCAAAACAATTAATAAATTCTTTAATAATATATAATAATAAACAATAATAAAATATTGATAATAAAAAATAATAATGATAAAATATTAATAATAATAAATATTAATAATAAAATGTTAATAATAATAAATAATAATAAAATATTAATAATAATAAATAAAAATAATGAAATATTAATAATAATAAATAATAATAAAAAAACAAATAATAGTGATGATAATGATATTGATAATGATGATAACGGTAATAATTGATAATATTAATTATATATGTATGCAACTAAAATATTTTACATATTAGAAATTATTTTCAAACAAAACAAAAAGTATTGAACAAACTACCGTTATTTCCGATTATAATTTCTAGTTGCATACGATTTTCAATTTTGACATCATCATTAAACTCATACGTATCCATCATTCCTTCACCATAAATCAGTTTTAATATTTTCCTTTCCAAATTTAATTGAATTGACATCGAATATTCTATGCCATTATTTACACCTAAAATTTTTTTTTTTAATGATCAGATAAAAATATAAAAATAATCTCTTTTAAAGCTAAATACTAAAGGAAGGCGATTTTTTTCTAAACTGTCGCTTTTTCTTTATTTTATAAAAAAGAAAATTTTTTAGGATTCAATTTTTAAGTGAGAAATTTTTTTTTTTCTCCTACAATTTGTTTATATGTTTCTTTTTCTTTTTTATTTTTTTGAAGCTGAAAAATTATCAAACACAACGAAAAAATTATTCATGGCAAAATATTAAATTATGAAAATTTCCCAGAAATATATCCAAGTCTCTGGGTAATGAATTTGATTTATTATGATAACAATACAGGATAAATAGTCAAACCGGGTAATTGCTTCCTTATTTTCCTGATAAGCTTCTCTTGACTGTTAATTAAATCAACAGCAACCGCTGCATTATCAACATAAGCAGACAACTAAAAAGAAAAAAAAAACATTAATTAATTGATTAATTATTTGGAAAAACTTATTTTATTGAGAAATTTATATTCATCCATATTTGGTATCCAATATTTCACTACAAGAAAAACCGGCTAATCCTGATAGCTGTACTTTATGCCGGAATTAAAAAGTTCATTTCCGAAATTTTTTGAAAATTTTACATTGGAAATGAGATAATCTTGATGAAGTGAAAAAAATTTTTTTGCAAAATATATTTCATATTAACACCGTTGTAAATTCAAACCATATATTTCATGTCTAATAATAACTTAATAACTTTTTTAAAAAAAAAAATTTATAGCTTGAGAAAAACAATTTCAGTGCTTGAAATCTGAAATAAAAGAATTACAAAATAATTCAATAAATAAGATAAACTGCTCTCAAAGACAAATTCCAAAACACATCAAAAGTAATTTAATTTTTCAAATGCAAAAAATTTAAACGAAAGTTGTACTTTATAATTAATTTACTTTATTTTTTTCTTCAGGTTCTTTTGGAAAATTTTTCGAGTGAAACAAAATTAAAATAAAGAATAATTAAATGGAAATTGCCATTAACTACTGTTAGTTTTACTTATTTCTACGTAATTTGTCTTAAAATTGTTTTTAATTCCAAATGTACTGTACTAATACATCAATTAAAATTATTGATGGAGTTAATTACCAGCAATACCATTACAGCATACTTTTGACCTCAATCTTTAATAGCTCATTGAATGAGATTTCGCGGTGTAAACTACTCAGATAAACTATTTAGATATTGGTAATATAAACAGTAATGAATGAATCATATATCAAAGCATTTTGATATTACATTTTTTCCTTTAATTATACGAAACGGTTTTAATTCATATCCTTACCGTATCGTCACGTTGCAAAATGTAACGATACGGTAAAGATACGGTAATTATCATTTTGTTAACCCTAAAGATGAAATTTAATTAATTTGAGGAAATCTTTTCTTTTCAAGACCAAAAAAAAATAATCAAAAAAAAAGAAATTTTTTGACTTTGTTTCATTTTTTTTAAAGATTGATATATTCAATTACAGTTATAATTACTGTAATGAGAAGTCTGATAAATATATCTTATCATTGCAAATTCTAAAATAGTTAAATAGAAGTATGAAAATTGCAGGTACTGTTATGATATGAAATGTTACAATATAAGTGATGTAAAAAGGAAAAAATAAATAAATTATTGCTACATACAGTGAATATGTTCCCTTCAAGTCCTTGTGCTGATAACGTTATCAGACGTCCATCGATTGATCGGGTACGAAAACGTATTGGTAAGTTCAACTGTGGTCCATCATCTTCAGTAAAATGATCCATTAATGATAGATGATTGCGAGAAAAAAAAAATGTAAATAGTGAAATTTCAATAATTTTTAAAAAATGTAAGTTATGAATCTTGCTAAATAAACTAAAATGATGCTAATATGAAGAATTATGAACACGCTAATATATTCTGTTAATTTTGATTTAAAAAAAAAATTAACTTCATGAAATAAACTTCATGAAAATAGTTATATCTGCGAACTTTTTTAGATTTTTTGCAACATTTAAAAAAAATTTAATTTCAGTGTTTTCATACTGAAATTGTAACATCTTAATGCATCATACAGAAGTTCCTTTTTTCTGTTTGATTTATAAAAATTAATTAATCATTTGCATGAAAAATCATCTACTCACGGAAATATTCTGAAAATACAAACCTGCATAATTCCATTCAATAAATTTATATTCAACATATGACTTCCTATCCAGCAATGTGACAGCTTGAGCCGGAATTTCGTTTTGAGCACTTATCAACGAATGTGATATAATTAAGCATAAAAACCCGTAGTGTAGCATAATATCCTACAATTAATAATTAATTTTGCTATAAATCTTGTTTAATTTTGATTTAAAATAAAAGCGAACAAAAATATCTTATTTCCCAAATATATTGATAGATTATTGGAATATAAGTATGAAATATAGTCTGCATAAAATGTCTTCCGAAGGAATAGTAATTGTTTAATTTGCCAAAGGAAATATTAATAATATACTTAATAATATACATACTTTATTCTAATGGACTCTTGTCAACAGATGATTATGCTTACTTCTAATATTAGACTTCATTTCAATTATCCATCATCTCACACCCCTTCCCCTTTCCTTCATAATCACTGAAAATATATGTGATTGAGTATTTTCTAAACAATTTAAGTTCTGAAATTCAAATTAGAATTGTATTTTATGATTTTTTTTTAAAAATTTTTTTCTATTCTTTTTTTATTTTTATAATTAAAGGCAATTAGCACTTCCTTCCAACACATATGACGAGAACAATTGATAATTAAAACAAAACTTTAAGTTAAAAAAGCGGAAATGAAAAGTGAAATGAGAACATATTGGTTTGCTATATACTCCTTAAATGAGACGCATGAGAAAAAGCTCAGTTTAAGGAAAGACATTGCCGTTTGCGCTTATGTCAACAGATAAGCAATACCATTATTTCCTATGCTTTTATATGTATGCAGACTTAGTCATTGCCAACTTCAACCATTAATCATCATCATCATTATCATCATCATTATCGATATCGTTATCATTATTACCGTTATTGTCATTATCGCCATTATTACTCTATTATTATTAGTGTTATTTATCATTGCTATTTTATTATTATTATTATTTAACTTAATAATATTGTTTTCGTATTAACAATACTAGCAGTAGTGGAATAATTAATATCATTACAACAATTATTATCATTATCATTCATATTAATGCATTATTTGGCGTAAAATCTTGAATAATTCATCTTTTTTGGTTAGAAGCAATTTTTCAAAAACTATCTATAAAAGTAAATACATATATCAATCATCTAAGAGATACAGTATGAGTAAACAATTATATAATAAGGATCATCGTCAAACCTGTCAAAACTATTTGACTGTATTAGCACGATGCTATCGGCGACGCTATTAATTTGTTAACGATGCTATTGATTTGTAATTGTATATACAGTGAAATATACGTTAAAATGTATGCTTCTATTGTATTAGTTTATTTTACTTTCCATTTTTGTATTATTTAAGCTTATTTTTACTTTTTTCCATTTTTAAAATCTTTGGTATTACCATTTATTGTACATGAAATTCGCATTATTTATTTTTTTTCTGCTATTTCCATATGTGCACTTCACTTTTTTTTTTCTTAATGCCAAATGGCTAGACGTGAAGGATATGTGTTAAAAAAAAAAAAAAAAACGAATGCAACAAATAAACAAATAATACATAAGCAAGCAAATAATATTCAGTGGAATAGAACAAGAAAATGTTTTCGGTTTTCTTGAAATTTTATTGAAATTTAATTGAAATCTGCTATGGATTAACTTTTACAACTAATAAGTTCTTTTTTTATAAGAATTTTTTTTACTCATTCCAAAAAACAGCAATTTTTTAGGCAAAAAAATCTTAATATTTTAAATAAATCGAAATATTTAAAAAAATTTTTTCAAAATTGAGTAATTAATGAATGATTCAATTAATTAAATATCAGATATTTAATTAAATATTGAATAGCTCATTAATTCTAACATAAAGCAATACAACATTTTTTTCTTTTTTGTTATCTTTTGTATACCCTAAATTCTAAACATATGTAAGAAAATTGAAACAGTCTAAATATGAAATTTTCTTGTCAGTACAACATATAATTTAAAAAATTTTTTTCTAATAGATTAATTTTAAATTCGATTATAATTCTCATAACATTTACTGAATATCATGGTATATATATTACTAAATTTATCCTATCAAATATATACCTATACTTTATACTGGTAGGTATTTATACTCTGTTCATTTGTGTATGAAAGTTTTGCTTCATGCTAATTTTTAATTCAGAAATGTTCTGCCATCTCTGCGAAGCAGGAGGTTATGACCTGAAAAAATGATTCAACGTGGGCACAAGATGGGCTGCGTCACTAACTGTGCAAATTCCTTATATTTGAGAAAGCGCAATGCCTATTACGAGAACTTTTTATAATGGAAACAAGAAAATTTAATGTAAATTTTGTTGTTCTGTTCTGTTCGAAGGCATTTGAAACAATCAATGATTTCCCTCAAACATTCCATTAAAGCTTGGATGTGGGATAAATGTGACATTCATTGTTCCGATGGAAAAATATGCATAGTTTTCTAGTTTTTCCCTTTATAGGAGCTTCCTTTTCCCGCCGGGAATCCATTTAATTTAATTGATTTGATAGAATTGCTTGATTTGAATGATTTGACCTGCAGTTAAGGCCAAAGTTTCATTCATATTTATGTTTAATTGGTTTTTCTCTCTGATAATTGTTTGATTTCTTGTGATTTTTTCGTTCATTAATACTAGTTCTTTCAAGAATTTCTTGATCCTATGAACCGGTTATTCTATTGATTCCTACTTCAATTGGTATGCTTTGTCCAATACTCAAATCGATACTTTTATTTTCAACTGTAATTTTTCAATTATAATTTCCAAAACTTGGATGTTCTAAATTCTCACCGATGGTAGCTTTCACTTGTAGAAATGTTCTTTTCATCGCTTCAGTGATTACTCTTATTTCTTGTGATGCAATAAATTGTGGCTTTTTTTAATGAAAAGTTTACCATAGTTATGTCAATAAATCTTTTATGATTGCTTGCGTAGTTTTTTGGCTCAATGTTCTAACTTTTCTCAGCTAACAATGCGCCTCTTTTAAGAGTACATTTTCAGGTAGTTTAATTTCTGAATTTTTGGGATGTTTTAATAATGAATTGCTGCATTGAAGCTGCTCCAAAGTTATCAACTAAGTGCTAATTGTGAAAAGTAATTGGTGACCACTCTTTCAGTTGAGACTAACTTCTCGGTACCTTACTTACTTAATCGTTGAAGTACTAATTTATAGTCCTCAAGGTAAATGTTTAGAGCATTGAGGCTTCTCTTGCTTCAGCTATTAAGTTTGTGTAAGATACTGGAGATTTATGGACAGTTAATTATTATATGCTAATGCAATTTTAATAAAGAATAATTAAAATAAAATTTTAAACACAATACCAATCTAATAATCAATTTTGGTTAATCTCTTAGCTACTTATATCAGTAAGTAAAACATAATATTTTTTAGTGTCTTTATTTATTAAAATAAATGAATTTTACTTTTTTTTAAATCTACTTCTATCACACAAGTAGTATTTTTTTTTTATTATTTAAAAAAATTTTAAGAAATTTTTTTTGAATTTATTCGTTATTTTATTCTTGCTCATGTCACATTAAAAATTTTGTCGGTTTCTTTACTGATTTTTCATCTTTCTAATCTATATTTTCGCTCTTTTTTTTTTCGAAAAAAAATTCTAAATTATTGTTTGCATCAGAATGATCAGCTATTGATAATCGTATATGTTAAAAAAAAAAAAAAACATATATGTTAAACCGTATATGTTAAAAAAGTTTTGACAAATCAAAAGTTCATTTATTTTTTTTTTATCAGTATTTGAAAGAATTGTCTCAAAGAGTTTGAAAAATTCATTCAAAAAGATAAATTAGTTTTGATTCGATACCAAAATTGTTTCGACAAAGCAAAGTGTTAATACCAAATCTGTCCAAGCAATATCAAAATTTACGTAAAAGTTACAATTACACGACATTATCATTATTTATTGCTAGAATGATTTATGCATGAAAAGTGAAAAATTTTTCATAAGTATTGTTAGACTATTTTAATTTATATTATATGCTTTAATCAAACTTTTTTTTCCACTCAAACATCAAATTTTCATCCTTTCAAGATAACAATTAAAATTTATGAAAATAGAATTTAAAAAGAACATTATTCAAAGTTTGCAAAATTTGAAGGAAAATTTACATTTAAAATTTTGATCAATTTAAATTCATAATTTTAGTAGGAAACAACCCAGTAAATAAAAAAATGAAATCTAGCAATGAAAAGAAAAGAAGAATCTTCGAAAATTAAACATTAACATTGTGTTTCTCATTAAATTGCAACATATTTTCAATCTTTTTCTTTCCCCATTAATTATTTTGATCTACCAGCACCCATTCAAAAGCAACAACAAGTTTTATTTTTCTCTTTCCTCTTCACATATCTTTCATTTTAACTCCTAACTGAAATTATATGAGATTTTATTGCATGAGCTGAATTGTTTCAATGCTAGTTATTTATCATTCATTATAATTAATTTTATTTATTTTATTTACGTTTATCATCATGATTCCAATTAAATACAATATTTTAATTTCTGGATTTTTTATTGAATGAATTTGACTTTTGTTGAAAATGAATTTAAATGAGTAATATTTCTGATTAAATGAATCATAATTTGTGTACAAACTTTCTACACAATAAATATTAATATAGGTTCGCTTTTGCGCACCATTAATTTTTTATTTAAATTTTTTTAAATTTAAACTTTGCATAAATTAACTCCAGCAAATTTCAATCTTTGATATTGGAAAACTGCGCAACATTTCTCAAATGAATTATTGCTTTTAACAAAAATTTATCAGTAAATGTTCAAAGTTAATGAAATGATTCAAGGAAAAAATATATTCATTCATTCTTTTTTTTAGAATATTTTTGAAACATTTATTTTGAATATTTATGCAATGTAGGTCTGAATTAATTAGTATTTCCACTAATTGAAAATTTATTTTATATTGCATGATTCAATTTTTACTAATAGATCAATCGACCAGTTGTATGATCAATTAATGTTAACACTAATAGCAACATTGTTTTTGTTATTTTGAAAACTAAGACACAAAAATACTCAGATGAGAAATATTTAATATTAATTTTTTTTTAATAATTTCAATCAAAT